GAAGCAACACGAAAAGCAACCAGATGGAGAGTACGGGAGAGACCGAAGATGTGCTGGCAGGCAGGGTGGAAACAAGCAGACTGGATGGAGGAACGGTGAAAAAGCTGGAGAAAGTACAGTCAGGTTTCTGAGGGAGGTCTGCGTCTGTTTCAGAGCTTGAGGGACGGAGGTTGGAAGCGGAATGAGGAGGGTTGGGATGGCTGGAGGATGGCAGGTTGTTTGGGGCAGCCTGTATCAGCACTGGGGTAAGGATGGAGAGATGCTGCTTCTCCGTATGGGGCTCAGATGTCTGTACCAGCCTTTAAAACACACACGTTGCTCCGCTGCTATCGTTATCCAGCCAAAATTTGATGGATGGACCACCTGATGCACCAATAACGCAGCTAATATCCTAGGACAGAGGAGTACCAACGACAGAAAACCATCTTAAACCTCCAATTGAAAACGATGCTCGTACTGCGCCCATGAAGATCAAAGATGAGACAGACACAACAACTTCCACCCCTAAGGAGTAACTTCTGGTTGTGGCTGGGACACCTGCCAGCCTTCACTCCTCCACCGCCGACAAAACCCAAAGATGAGCCAGTCACGGAGCTATTCGCTCCCTTCCCCAGGGGAGGAATTGCTCTCCGAAGCACGCTTGCCTGAAGCCCTAAGTCGTACCTCTTGATTCCTTTAGAGCCTAAACCCAAGCTTTAGCACCACTGAAAACTGAAGATTTCTTAACTTCCTATTGGATAGTGGCTGTGCACTTCGAACCAGCAAGCAACCGAAAAATTGGGTTTTCAAATAAATTAATGATTACTGAATTATGAAATACGTTACGCTTTTTTTTTTTTTTTACCAACGACTGTAAACGTGACATTTATAATACTGAGGGGATTTGGCCCCATAATTGGAAGGAGAAGAAACGCAGTGTCAACTATTTATTTAAAAACAAAAATCTGTAAAAAAAATCTCTTAAATAGCTTTTCAGTAGAGTCTGTGCAACAGGTTTTATTGGTAGTTGTTAGCAATGACCTGCATATGTCATTTGTATGAATACGGCCCTACGAAATGCGTGGTGATGAGACACATTTCACCACGTTGCCCTTTATATACGCTCTATTTATACACGAGGATGAATGAATTGACAAGACAAGAGGTGCGGCACAGAGATCTGATATACTGGCATAAATTTAGGATGATCTACATTATTCATAAGTACTGAAGCCACAAATGAGATATGTAACAACATCCAAAATGAGTGTCAATAGAATCTGTTCCCGCAGCGCACCATCGTATATTCCTATCTGTCACATATTCCTTAGAAATTTCTCCTTCTAAGAAATCTGGTGCGCTCAGTCTGGAATGCAACGTTGCCTTGGGATCTGCGATAAGACTCGCCTGGAAGAACAGCCTTGCAGAAAACCACCTAAAAAGGAGCGGACAGAAAACACAAAGAATTGCCTGCTCCCAAATTATTACCTCTTCTTCCAACCCAGTTGTGCCACAGTTGGGGACCCAAAAGTCACCTGGGTCAGCTCAATTTCTCAGTGTCTTCAAAAGTGCAAAATCCAAACTAAACCAAGTGAAACATCACCGGTCCAGCAGGCAACAGATACGACAGAACTGACAGATGAACTAATCCCAAGTCTAGTTTTACAGACTGAAGAGGTGGAGGGATGCAAGTCCGTATTTTGGAAAACATATATGAGCTAAAACACCAGATAGTTTGAAGCTCGCCTATCATTAATGTAGATTTTGAAGAGTTTTAATTTCGTACAAGTGCACCCAATATAGGATTTGATTATTCTCTTTAACACCACGATATCTCAGGCACAGAGCTGGGTGTATTCGGCATAAGCTCTATTTCTTTTTCAGATGGGCAAAAGTGTTTACAGAGAAATCATCGTCGGAAACCAAGAAACGGAAGGAGTGTGCAAAAGAGAGGTATAAAAATATTAAAGATTAATGACCGCTTTCATGCCAGATACAAACCAGAAGCTCTCCACAGAAGTCCTTAACCTCACATTTGAAAGGGAATTAAGTGTTTTCACCTGCTAAAAATCTCAGTCTGGATTTCAGATGAGCGACCCTGACCTGAAAGATTTTGCATCCTCTCGGAACCACCCAATCACTCCCACCTATCTCTCTATTTGAATAAATACAGAAGTGTTACTGAAACACAAGTTGTAAATAAGGTTCTGCACTGCCAAGTGAAATAAAAAATGCTTACTGCCTTTCATAATTTTAATTTTACAACGCATCAATATTATTTAGCTTTATAATGATAAAGATTTTAAACACATTCTTTTCACTAACGTAAGAAAATACATACATGAAAATTCCTTATGGAAATATCTATTTTACAGTAACTTTACAGTAAAGAAAAAAAAAAGGAAAGGTACCTGGAATTTCAGTGAAAGCCTCTCCAAGGACGGACACGTGAAAAGGTAGATCTTTCTCTTTCAGTTTCAGCAGAACTTTAAAGAAAGTTTCAGGATCTTTGTCATGTTCCCTTGAAACAAACAGAACTTATTTCAGCATCATTTATGTTTACTTGTGGAATTATTTTTTTGTTGTTGTTTATCAGAACAGTATCTCTCTTAAATTCTACTTTTGGGGACTAAATGTCTTCAGCATAATTTCCCTCTTTGCTTATGCCACATGCTCAAACATTTTCCTCAATTCAGCACTCGGCATCAAAACTCAGTTTCATTTGATTCTTCCCCCTCTTCCCTGTCTTCAAATGATGTCTTTACTCTTCAAATTATCAACTTTGAAAGCGGGAAGGACTGAGTAATATCTCACCTAACTGAAAGGAAAATCATGCTAAAAAAAAGGGTAGGGTAGGAAAAAAACTTTTTTTTTTTCCCTGTCAAAAATACATATACACAATCTCCTTTACAGTTATCCCCCTTTTTCAGGAGGAATAGGTTAATCAAAGACTATAGGATTTCCCAAACTGGAATTTTATGAATCCATGCTATACTCATACAAAACTTCCGATTCATTCCATGCTTTAGGTGAAAACGAAAGGAACAAACTAACACGAGGCATTTTCTACCTTTAGACTTTTAAGGAGTTAAGTGGATGTCAAAAGAGAAAATAAGAAACCTGTACTTATTTATAATTTCAGCTGAAGATAATATTAAAGGTTTGTATGGGTATGACACTCAAAGCCTTGAAATACGAGGTTGGTTATCTAAAAAGCAAATTAAAAGCCAATTTGCTAATCTGTCTTCTTTACTAGCACAGAATGAAAGGTTCAAAAGATACCACAGATGATCTAAATTTCCCAAATTTGCTAAGTTATATTAAAAATGAAATGAGATCACTCCCCCACTCTAAGGTGAATATTGTATCTTGCATTTAATTACTCTGCTTCAAATTACTGTATTTCAGACAGATGTGCACCATATGTCTTTAAAATATTTTGGTTTTATTTATTATTTAGAAAATTCCACTGTTTTCCTTCCTGTATTAAAGGGAAATCTATAGCTCAGCTGTCCTGGTGTCTTTCTTCACAGACTAATTTTGTAGAATGAATCTGTAGGTTTGTCACACTGCTATAGGAAAGATTAATAATTATATCATTCAGGAAATCTGAAGCCAAATGACATCTGCAGCTCTACATGTGTTAATTTCTCATTCAGTCAATATTTTTGGTTTAGGGAATTAAAACAAATTAATCTTATAATTAATGTGACTTCCCTAGGCTGAGAAATCTTCAGGAACTGTGGAGTTTTCAGAATTAGTGGCATTTTCTTAAAATAAAGCCAGACAATAATTACTTTAAGAAGTCCTCCATCTCCCAGATTTGTTTTGTTCCCAATAATAAGGAGGAATGCAACTGCATAAGCTTCGTAAATGGTTTCACATCTGTGAACCAGGAGTTTTCACGGTGCTTCCAGTAACCAAAGTGGATACGAGCACTGGCTCGGAGGGAGAATTTCTTCCAGTTGCAAAGACCCCAGAACTGCCTACTAGTTTGCTTCCACCCTCATGCTTAAAACACCCACCTGTTTCTGGGAGGTAAATTATGTGCAGAAACGTGTTGCCAGTATTTGAGTTCCCGCCGAATGCCCAGCTGAAAAGAGCCGAAATGGGAACACTTTCTATCAGAAAGGTGCAACTTTGCAAGGAAAATAGCTTGGGAGTGGGTGTAATTCAGTATCATGTTTCCCCTTGGCAGGATTTTGTGGGTGCTTTCTACATGATCCGGACGAGCCCAGCCTGTATGTGATGCTGAGCTGCACTCAGCTCATCCCGAGATGGACCAAAACATGGAGCAGGCGGCTTCGACAGCCAGAGCCACGATGCTTACAGGGATCTTTCCAAGCTCTTCACAGCCCCGCTATCGGCTTCGCAGTCACAAAAAGTCCTTCCAGCAAAGGATATGCTTTCCCTCTCCCTTTCCAGAAGAGACCAGGGGTCCTGGAGGCAGCCAAAAGTGGAGGATGCTGTTGGAGCCACATTGTCAAGGAGCTGGCAGGAGAACACGGAGCCTTACAGCTCGTCGAAGCCACATAAGCTGCACATATTTAGGAAAACTGATAGGAATTGGAAGTTGCAGCTTTGTTTAATAGGTGGGGAAGAACAGAAGGAAAATTTGGCACCCAGAAGGAATGCTGAAAGGGGAAACGTTTCCTCTGCACTGGAGCCTCTCTTATGGGTTTTCTGCTGTAGGTGAACCTCCTTCCATATCCTCTTTCAAAATATTTTGCTTTTATGCCATACTCATGGATTTTAATGACACATTTTGTGAATCTTGTAGCTTTTCTATTTGGTCATCTTATTTGATTTACCAGTTCCTGTGACTTTTCCACACCACAACCATTTTGTTTTCGGTTAAGACCTACGGAAAGCTTCCAGCACATGTACCTACAGATTGTAACGTATTACTATTATTCCAAGTTAGTAAAGGTATAGCTGCTCCTGGTAGAAAGCAATAAATAGCTCAAGACCACTTCTTTACCGCATCAAAAAGAAGAGAGCTCTGTTTCTTGGCTGACATGGAGAAAATCATATACAATCCAGTCTGCCTTACTCAGCAACAACTGCTAAACACACCAGATTGCCATAGCAGTGATCGTGGAAAAAGATGAACACAATATGGAATGTCTGTTCTGTAAAGATCTGCTCAAAATGACGTGCACTTTTGGCTGCATCTGTTGCATTTTTGAGCTTTATTAAACAGTATTAATTATATATACTCCATTTCCTTAAGAAGGACTGCAAAACTGTGTAAAAGCCTGCTATTAAAATGCAAACTTTTCTTCTAAGATACTATGTTTGGGGAAAAAACAAGCCAATGTGATTCCAGGGTCTGGCTGAGTTGTTTAGTTTAGGTATTTGAGATGCTTTTTTTATTTTTACATGGTTTGATATGCATCTTGTAAAGTTAAAATAAGAACTGGGCATGGTATGAAGATGCTCTAAATTTCATCATAAGAACATGAGAGCATCAGAATCACCAAACTCCAGCTGCAAATGCCACAAAACTCAGATTTGAGAACACTGCCATTGGAGACATTCAATCTTCACACTTAGATATTATACTGCATGCTGAATTTTTTCACCCAGGATTTTTCATTTTTGAGTCTAAAAACCATTTTAAGAACCAACATTTGAAGTCTCTCTTTAGAACTGGCTGAACTTTAGTGGTCTGGGCACGGGAACGCAGGCCAGGGTTCAGGCTGACGTAGTGACTTGCCTTTGTAATCTGAAATAAAATTTTCAAGACTGTCCTTGAAACGGGGAAGGGGAGGCCGGTGGTACCAGCAGCACCAGTACTGAGCCTCTGCTAGCTCTGCCTTAGATTTTCTGTTTATAAAATGGGTGTGATGGCATTATTTTTTCACCACAGAAGGATGCTGTCAGGATTAATTGATGACTTGACATCCCTCTTTTCAGCCTAAAATGATTGAAAAAAGCAACTTCACAGCGCTACGATGATGCTCCTCTATACAATCAATGGCAACAGTCTTCAAAACACCCTTCTGCTCTTCAGAGGTTTTGTGAACTCAGCCTCAGCCCTCGAGCCTTACCCATTGCTGGAACTGGAAGGAGAGTGCAGAGAAAACAGCTAAACCAGAGTTATTCCCTGTGGCTGCAGGATACCCATACCCCTGACTGGTGATGGAAAACATATTTTTAAAAAAAATATAAGGAAGAGCAGAATTTGGCTCTTTACATTATTCAGCACATATTCATCTCTTGAATTTGAGTGAAATATGGTCTTCTGTGACTTAAGTTTAATTTTTTAAGTGTATATATATAAAATTATCATACATGGTGGTAATCACAGTTCTTTAGGATTTGGAGGAAGACACATCTAGCTACACAAGTAGAAAGCAGAAGAGTTGTGAAAAAGAGACAGGACTTGCTCAAAGGGGCAAAATAAATGCAGCCTCTCTAAAAAAAAAATAATTAAAAACGATGGTTTATGCAAGTTAATCAGTAACATAAAAATGCTAAGCCAGGGTAGAAAGTCTTAATATTTCAGAAAATAGAGTGTAAAGAGTACGTAACACTTGTGACAACAACAGCCCTGTCGTGCCATCTTTTAAGGTGCCACATATCCAGAAAGGGTTACAACTAAGCTCAGCTAAAAGCAGTATTAAAAGGGTTGATCTTAATCTTCTTAGGACATTTAGCATGGGAGATTTTCAGTGGCAGAGAATCCCAAATTGTGAGGGCACGTGGTAGTATCTCACTTTTTACAGCGCCTTAAATCCAAAGCAATTCAACCTGGGTGCATCTCCTTCCACCTCTCCATTTCAGAAAACCGTCTGAATGTCAGATGAGCAAAGGTGGAAAATGACAATGCCAAACCAGGCATGAAATCCTCAGAAAAGAAATTAAACTAGCATTTTGATTTTTTTTAATTATTATTATTAATTTTTTTTTTGCATCCATACCGAGCTAAACCACCGACTTCTGCCCACCTGCAATTTTTGCTAGAAAATGGCTGATAAAACAGGCCACTGAAGCATCACTCATTATTTATGAAGTTGGGCAGCAGTCATGGAGACAGAGGACAGGCAAGCCAAGGGACAGCCAGGGAGGAGAGACAAGGGATGGAGAACAGGGAATGTGTGAGGGGCAGAGATGGGGCTGGGGAAGACCGTGAGCACAGAATCAATGATTGCAAGTGAAGAATATGAAGTTTCTGAGACACAGATGTTGAAGTGAATGACAGTGGTCCTTCAGTTTTGGGAAAGTGAAATAGTGAGGAGCGAGTTTGGCAGCAAATGGGGCAGACAAGATGGGCAATGAAAAGAGGGAGAGAAGCAGAAGAAGAGAAAAAAAATGATAAAGAAATACAAATGTTCAAGTTGAAAACTAAAAAATGATGGCATATCCAAACCCAGGGAGAGAAAAAGATAAATACAAGATAAACAGAAGCAAAAATGAAAAGGCATAGGCTTGGGAAAAAGAATACAGAAGAATTAGACTGTGAGACAGAGAGAAGTTGCAGAGAGCACCTGAGTGTCATCATTAGTAGGGGAAAAG